ATCCAAGGGTGCTAAGTTATGTCTAGAGACAACCAGGGGACTTAGAAAACACTGTAACGTGCAAGACAGTCGCTAACTGTACATTCTTCATTCTCCAAATGTCTGACTTGATACACACAGCTCTGCACACAGGTGCAGCAGGAGCCACGCACCGAGAAAAGTGTAGTGTTCTGCAAAACAAGCAGAGCATCCTTCGTTAGCCAGAAAACTCAAGGGGGAAAAAAACCCAACCTTTCCAGCATCTCTAAAAAGGGCAACACTATCCCTAGGCTTCATCTAATGAACCAAAGAGACAATGAGAAGCACCACAGAAGAACCCATGAGAAAACTGAACAGTTTTTACCTGGGACATGAAAAAGAATTTAAAAAAAAAAAAAAACCACACACACTACCAAGCCTAGAAGAAATCTCAGAAGCTGATCAGGTCTATGCTCTTCCTAAGGCATGCTTTTCATACTCTCAACCATCTTTTAAGTTTCTTTCCAGAGATCTCTACAAGACACATCCTCCAAACATCATAGTATGTAAGCATTTTCATAAGGGATCAAGCTCCAACTTTAAATCAGTAATTACTTTTGTCCCCATCATTCCTATTAAAAACATCTTGTTGATGAACTCATTGCCATCACTGCCTTTTAGCTTACACGTCTGTCTTCCCCTCGGCGTTCACACACTTGCTGTTTCCCCAGCCTTCAGCCTGCTGGGCTAAACAAGTCAACCTTTTCAAATTCCCTCTCGTAAGACATCTCCCTCATCACTGCACAAGCCTCGCTCCCTGCACTCATCCCACATTCCATGAGTCCACAAGTCACTGCATAGGTAACTAAAGTTATAGTGTTCTAGGTGATGTCTCAGAAATACAGAAAATAGCCTTAACAGTTTAGCTGCTCTGAAAATATCTTTCCAGACATATCCGACCTTAACTTTATGATTTTTTGTATGGCTACATTGCACAATTTCTCTTATCTTTTCTCACAGATTGGGTATTTGCCATCAGAAATTCTTGCCAGTGGTCCTAAATGAACACCATTGCACTCTGTGTCATTGAATAAAATGACATTTCTGTTTCTCTAATCCAAAAGGTCACCTAATTTGTGAATGACATGGTGATTCTTTCATAGATATCTCCCAAATTCGCTTCATCAGAAGATTTCATCAGCATATGTTCTCTTTTACATCACCACTAGCATTCTGAAAGTCAAGCCCATACCTGCCTTCTGAAAAACATCTCACCATTCTCAATTTCCCTTTTAATTGTCACACTTCATCAGGCAGTTCCTTACTGACTTGGTATCTCCTGTACTGACCCACATCTTATTTCGCTACAGTAACAACTTCTAGCCTGGTATGGCAGAATTATGAAAACACTTTCCAGGTTGACTTTTTCCACTCTTAGAGACCATTTATATTCTAATGAAGAAAAGTCAAACAAAAAGCCCCAGAAGCTCTACATACTGCAGACTTCAGAAAAACTGTTCTAGGCTGAGATTTTGGGTTTATTTACATCTTGTTAACCTATTTAAGTTTCCTAGAATTTGGTCAGATCTGCCTCTAACTTTAAACGCACACACTCACTTGAACTTCTCAATGACAGTGAATGATGTGTCAGTAATTACAATGAAAACATACAGGATTATCAGTTTCTTGAGTTGTATATTTTTGCCTGCCTTGGTTATGGGAATTACGTTTACGCAAATGCAAGAAAACTTTAATGCTTCGCATACAATGAGCTCTATAAACCCAAATCACGTGAAAAGATTAGGAATTTTAGGACTGATTTTATCATTACCAATAAATGTGGCTTTATCTTTTACATATCTTTAACACTGAACTACATTACTATTTGAAAGTCTAACAAAACTCTGCAAGAACTGTCAGGAATAAACTTTGGTTGGGATTTCCCTGCCAAAAGAGATTTTAAGAGGCTGGGGGGAGAAGAAATTCAGGCTATTTAATTTGAAATTAACTCAGAAAATAATTCAGTCGAGTGGAATGTATCTTAGATCTCCTAACTGGGACATCTTTTGTTGTATTCATCAGCATTTTAATAAAACCTCCTCAAGACTGCCTCATCTGAAAATCTCTGCCTATAATAAATTTCACATGGGTCATCACAAACATCTGGAAAGGCCTTGCGGCTTCTTTAACTGGATGTAGGTTTCTAACTACGTAGTTTTACAAACAATATTGTAAACTTCTGAAACCACGTCTGGACTTTCTCTCTTGTTGACATTACTTCTGTAGTCGGGCAAAGCTTTTTGATGTGGCAGAGAGAAACGAGCAGAATTCTTGCATTTCGCATACAGAAAGAGAACAAGCAGTCCAGGAACAACTTGATGGCCAGGCATAGTTTTGCTTTCCCCCTCAGAAAGAACATTCAATCCAAAAAATTAGCATCCTGACCACCAACACCAGCGGAATGAAGAGAGCATTCAAAGGCAGCCTCCTATTTGGCTGGATTTCTTCTTGTGCCACACAGCCAAAACAGAGGGAAGACAAACCTCCCATCATTCAGGACAGAGATCAGTTTTCTAACGCATCTCTCTCCCTGAAGTTCATGAAATTATCTACAACACTTTAATGATGGATTGAACTGAGGTAGATGGGGTGAAGGCAGCCAGGCTAACTGGAGCCCAGTTGGAGCACAGCCCATGTGCAAGGCTGGAGATCACCGCTCAGACTGAAACAACAGGGCCTGCTTCCCTCCCCAGCTCTGTGAGGAAGGCAGAATTCCTTTTTGGCTGTGAGAAAAATTGTACGTGCAGGGTCACCTGTACTCTTGGCTCAAAGTAAAACTTCCGCACAAGAGTAGCATAACTCTCCTCACAGCTCAGAACTGACATTTTTGTTATTTGTCACTGCCTCATTATAACATTAGTGGTACAACCTGCCTCCCATTGGCCCCCTTGCTGTGGTGCTCCTTTCACAACTCATTTTCCCATATTTCTTCTGATCTCCCACTATGCCTTCCCCACATTTTCTTCACTGCTTTGATTCCAGTTCCTTTGCTCCCCATTCCCTGGGGGAAGGCTATCAGAACGAAATAGTGAACAGGGCAGCAGTTACCCTTGACAACTACTGGAATGTTTTCAGTGGGCTTCCCAATGAGCAGCCCAAATGAGAGTAATGAAGATAATGGGTGAATCCCTGCTGCACAGGCACAGCAAGAGAGTTCCTGCAAACTCAGACAAGACAGTAACACGTTTTGATTCACACGGAGTGTTTTCCTCAGAACCCTATCAGCTAAAACATGCTGCTGTTAATAATTTCAGCTCTGCAGAATCAAAATACATCCTGTGGGACAAACAAAAGCATTGGCATAACTAGTGCTAGCCTGCACAACTAGTGATCCTCAGTTCTTGTTAAGCAGCAGAAAAACAGGATCAGAACTCAGGTCTGAGAACTAGTCCCAGTTCAGCTTCTGTTGGATGGTCCGTTACATGTCGGAGTTTTCCAGCTCCAGTTTTAAGAAAGCAAGATTTTCAGAGGTGTTAGATGCTTAGGTGCCAGTGATGGCTGTGGGAGAGAAAGTCTCCAACATCTCACAAAGCTGGAGTGAGCAGCAGATATCCAGAAGTCATCAGCCTGAACTAGAGAACAATTGTTTTAAATTTGATCTCTGATTCTTCCATACGCCACAATCTCTGTAACTACAGCCCCGCCATGACTTTGGATACCCCATAGCTCCCTCTGTTTGTCACCATTTCTTCCTTTGCCACCAGTTAGTTTTCCCCCTCCTGTGACAGTGACCCACACCTCTGTTCTCACTCACCACGAGCTGGAGGCTCTGTATCCAGCTCGTGTGTCTCTAAGCCAGGGCCTGCATTTTCTCTTAGTTCTGGCCTTGAGAGCACAAAGTCCTTTGCTCATCTCACCACACGAGTTGCCGACCTCAGAAGTTGGGATAGCAACAGTTTTCTATCACACAGGGACTGAGAACAGATTCATAGACAATAATAAAACTCTACACTGAGTTTTCAAAAGCTTCTTCAAAGCCCTAATTTTACTCTCATGCTTACAATCCCAAAATGCCAAGTTCCTGACTTCCCACCTATTTACTTATGGCTCATTACAGATACAACAGCACTGATACAGCAGTAATTTTTTCCCCACTCACCAGTAATGAAAACAACTACCAGAACCCAGAAAGCCTCCTCCCAAAACCGCAAGGGAACAGGGTAATGTTGAGCCGTATGCCGCAGAGCTGAGCTGAGTGCTCAAACTGCAGAGAGAGCCCCAGATTGCACCAACAGCGTTTCCAACCACCCTGTCTATAACTATGGCTACTGTGCTGCAGTCAGTGTACATGTGCCAGGCCAGAAGTCATGAATCCCATCAGATATAAAGCACACTATTTTACCTAAGAGGACAGAAAATTGCATACTACCCTAAAGTAAACACTAAATCAAGATACTGATTGCAGTGTATGCGTGCATGCTCTGTTTTCAGAGGGGAAAAAAAATACACGCTATTCATTAATATAAATGTATGTAACAGTTTAGCCACATCGTGCTCTGTTCCCCAGCAGAGTTTCAGCCAAGACCAGAACTCCAGCTGGTTGATAAAGTCAGGGTAAGAAATTCTGTATCCCTTACTCACTCACAGATGAAAGGACTTCAAGCAACCAAAACACAAGGCCCTACAAGTAAACACAGAGTCCTACCTCAGATTTACCAAGCTCATCAGTCCACATTATCACTAACAGATAAGGTTAACAGGTAAGCCATTAGACAACACCTGTTCATCCAAGATACCACTGGATTTAAACTTAACTTCTTCTAAACCAATCATGTGGAGTTAAAAGTATTTGGAAACAAACACACACAAAAAAACCCACCCAAAAAGCTCACTGAAACTAACCAGAAAAAAGACCACCTACCACAGAAATTATGCTCTTCCCTTGTAGGTAATACACCAGCAAGAGAAGTGACTGATCACAGGAAGGACTACAACAGATGCACTCACCCACTTTCAGTGTATCACCACACAAAAATACTCACAATAAATCCAAGTTTTTTGTAGTCTCGGGTATACATAGATTTGCGTTTCTCAATACTGCCACTACTGTTGTTGGGTTCAGATTCTGCATCAAATGCAATTCTTCGGAGTTCAAATATGATATCCCGTTGGGCCTATGTTAAAACAAGGATAAAAAAGAAAAAAAAAATCAGTTAAAATAACTTACCACCCACTTTAATAATTGATACCACAAAAGCAATTTGAAAACACTGTATTCCCTCCACTGCCCAACATTTTTTTGTCTAAATTCCCTACTTTGTACTCAGAGAGACAGTCAGGAAGAATGACTTTGTATTTCCTATTTCCCAAAGTCCTCACATTTGTGGGGTTCACCTGGAGATGCTTAAGTGTAGACTTAGAGAATCTGGACCCACGTTAGCAAGGCCACTAACTAAACAATTCTAACCACAGGCATTGAAACCACAGAAGCCAAGCAATCACACACATTCTAAATTAAGCTGGTACTTAAACCCTTTGCTGGCTGAAATCAAAAGGGCTCAGCACTCTGCATTCCTTTGGGAAACTGTCAATTTGTGCTAGCACAGGAATGGGCACGAGAGGAATTAACGCAGTTACACATCACTAGAAATGTCTCAAGACAGTGATAACCACCCTGCCACGAATACTGACAGCACTGTGTTAGTCACTCTCTATGGAGATACTCACTAGGCAACTGCACCTACATTACCCAGAGTCGTACTTTCCTGCCTCAGACTTACGAACAGGAAGGGTGAAAACCTACAGTATGATGTTACTTATGTTTACAACCATCCTGCTCTCCCACCTCCTCTTCTCCAAATTATCAGCAAGTCTTAACACAACTCCCTCTTAAAAATGAAATCAGGTTCCACCCTGTACAAGGCCTGAAAAAAAGGCCACAAAAACTAAAGAAACACACACATTTTCTCTATGGCTCAATGACTCTATATTTACTTGAATCTCTTAGGGGACTACGTATCTCTTTTTTCACAATGAACAATAGTGAAGCTGGTGTTTGGCCACAGAGAGCAATAAACAAATGAACAACTGCTGTATAGGTTCCCAGTAGCCAAAGTGGGTTTTATTGTAACACAAATTAACTCCAGCTCTAGCATGTCAGTTTTCATTTTAACATCCATTTTAGAGCTACAGAAGTCTCATTAGGAAGGAGCATACATCTCTGTTGCTTCTGAGAAGTACACTAAAGAAACCAGCGTTAGACCGCTGCTCGCTGTTTTGGCTCAAGATGACCCCAAATTCAGTTCATTACAGGCTGAGGAGAAAGGCCTGGTCATTTTGTTGTATTTTTGCCCAAGGAATTCAATAGCCAGCGCATCTTCTAACAACCAGAAAACATAACCCAACTTCACAGAGAGAAAGGGAACAACTGAAGGAATGAATGGTGTACGTGTTCCTAGCAGTGTCTTTTCATAGAATCATAGAATCACAGAATGGTTTGGGTTGTAATGGACCTTAAAGACCACCCAGTTCCAACCCCCCTGCCATGGGCCGGGACACCTTCCACTAGACCAGGTTGCTCCAAGCCTCATCCAGCCTGGCCTTGAACACTTCCAGGGATGGGGCATCCACAGCTTCTCTGGGCAACCTGTGCCAGTGCCTCACCACCCTCTCCGGGAAGAATTTCTTCCAGATATCCAATCTAAACCTCCCCACTTTCAATTTAAACCCGTTACCCCTTGTCTTGTCACTACAGGCCCTTGTAAAAAGTCCCCTCCTTAAAGAACTCTACGCACAGCAGTTGTCCTGTTCCTGTTCTGACCAGATCATGCCAGATACTTACCTGATCCTGTGGATCCATTTTTGTCATCATTCTGTCTTCCAGCAGGTTAAAGGTAAGTACTTGAAGAACATAAAGTTGGTGTGCCATTTCGTTATTGATGGCCCTCTGTGCCCTGATAACATGCTGCAAAGAGAGACTCCAGTGAATGCCATCTTACCAGAAAATGTTATCAGGTGCACTCAGGTGTTTCCATTCCTGTCAGCATGTATTTGCTACGCAGCAGTGTGTGTACATTCCAGAAAAAAAGAAAACCAACTCAGGACTAACGCCACCGAGTTAGGTACTAGGTAACTTACTTTAAGGGACAGGACTTTACAATAGCAGTGCACTGAAGCTTTCTCCTTCTAGCCACTAGATAGAGCCTCTGTATGTTGAGAAGTGGCATAAAAAAACCCTAAACCAAACCCAACCACACAACACCACCGTACTGAGGTCACCTCAAAGAAGAATTAACTCCTTACCAAAAGCATTAGAGTTCTGTATTAAAAAAAAATTAGAAACAAAGAGTATATTAAGAACATATTTAAAAGAGTATCTGCCTGAGCAGGAAAGTATTCAGGCTGCAAACACAACCAGTGAATACAGCAATCTAACAGGGCTACTGCTGCAGGAATAAACATCACACCACAATCCTACCTCTACCAGACAACTCCACTCTGTATGAGGAAGACTGCTTAGGAAATACATTAGCATACAGTGCCCCATATGTGCTGAATTATCACATTCAGGAAGCAGATACCAAACCGGTGGACAATTTAAAAATCCCTGGTGTGCCAAAAAACACCAAGTGGTTCTGTATGAGAAACAGACCTATGTCACTGAACACAGCGCAGCATACATACGGAAAGAGTCATCAAGCAGGAGATGGATACAGCAACTGATATTGTACAGCTCCAGAGAGTAAAATAATCCCTCTGCCAAAAGGCACTGGAGCATTTTACGCTGGTAGAGGAACAACTAAGAATATAATCCATGAATGAGAAAGAGCAAGGGGTTGTTTGGTTTGTTTTACCCTGCCTAGAATCTTGTAACAGAGAAAGAGCACATTCCCTTGTTCCCTTGAAGATGTAATCTACATTAAGGTCAGGGCAAAATCCCTCTAAATTTCCATGATAACAGATGCAAGTCTTTTATATTACATTCATTAACATCCCTCTGAGCTACATTTTTTGCTTCTTTTGTTGCATGTGGTGACGAATTGTGTGCAACTTGGTATCAAGACAGTGCATCTGTAGAACTGAAAAACACAGAGGTTCATTTTGTAAGATGGAAAGCCCTGTGCGGCTTGTTTGGCCGTCATCAGGTCCAAATCTTAATGCAGAGGACTTGCTGCAAATTCCTCAGACTACCCCTCACCTTCACAATAAAGTTCACATTCCCCATGGGAAGAAAATGCTTGAGGTATTCTTCTTTTATTCAGTATTATATTTTCATGAAGAAACCACAGTTTATTTGACTGGGAAAATACCCGTTCTGATAATCAGTTTTTAACCCATTCAACAACCAAACCTTTATCTTGTAAATTACAGGCTTCAAAACACATCAAAATACAAATGCAATTAAAATATATTAGGATAAAACCTATGAACATCAAAACTGGGAGTCAACTTTTCTCTCTAGTAGTGAAAAATAACTTTGAAAATTATGTACTTACAGTTAAGATGATGGAGCGAAGTTGCTTTTGTGCCAGAATATTTGCCATTTCCTGATTTAGTTTAAAAAATAAAAATAAAAATTAGCCAGGAGCAGGTATTTTAATGCGATACCTAGAAGAACACTGCCTTGAAAGGTTTTTGCCTTAAGTTTCTGCAGTTATTTACAAATGAAATGAAGCAGCATATCAGCTACATAATTGTACGCATTATTTTGAGGGTCAGACTCAGATTACTCTGAGAAAAAGGGTGAAGAAAGTGAAAAGTGTCACAAGCTGAGGACTTTGGTGATCCAAAACCAGCAACAGAAGACCTCAGAAAAGACATCTGTGGGTTCCACACAGTATTTACACACACTCACCTTCCCCTCCCGCAAACAACACAGAAGGAAACATGGAATGGAAGCCAGCCAGGACTTCAAAACAAGATGTCAAACAACATGCTTATTTACATTCATATTTTGGCTTTTTTTAAGTCAAGTGCTCTAACTTTTGCTCAATAAATCAATCTACAACGCTGTACTGTTTCATCATAGCAAATACTACTTCTCTCCTCTACTTTGGTAGCAATGTTGACACTGGACCACTATTTTAACTTAAATTAACTTCTCCTTCTAGACCTTTCTGTAGTCTCTGTTGAGGTGAATAAGCAGCTGATCCTGGCTGTGCATGCTGCAAACTGTCCTACAACGCAGAGGAGGGAATATTTTATACTTATCAAGCATGAGATGCTGATCTTAACCATACCTACACATCCATACCTCACTTTAAGTTCAGTGATCTCTTCCATAAATACAGAAATAGAGAGAGAGAAATATACATATGTGTGTGTGGGGATGTGGACATATGCTAGCATATGCAACGCGTACAACTTGTAGATATTACCATCACGCAATTATTTTTAAATTCCTGTTTTCAAAATGTACTATTTAAGGATTTGGATAACATATTGCACACTGCTGTTTAGACACTGTTTATATGTACACAAAAGGGTAATGTTTGGAATTAGTAGATCAATGATTGGAAACAGAGCTCATGTAATCACAGCCTCACACAGCAGCGTAACAGATCACAACAACGCTGACAGGTGCTTAAGGACATTCTTAGGATGCACCGTGATTCTGCGCCGTTGGCACCGTATCAAAAATACTGTTTATGTTCAGGAAAGATAAATTTTTTAAAATTCCTGATCTTTGTGAGAGTTGAAGAGGACATACTGTTTACTTTTATATAACACTAACTAGAAAATGGGAAAACTGAGCCTGTTACATAAAACACACGAAGACTTGGACTGCTGCAGAAACAATGTAAATAAAGCAAGCATTAGGGTCAGAGCTTGCTCACAAAACAAAAGTAATTCTCATTTTGAGACAGGAGGTAGTCACGGATGTTGACTGTTTTCTTTATACAAGATAAAGGGTGCTGCAATAGAACATGGGGACGATAAGGAAGGAAGAATGCACCGAAGACTAGAGAAACTCAGCTTTAGTTTTTAAGCCTTTTCTGGCTGAGCAGGTTTCAACTGCACGTAACAGCGAAGGAATGAATGAGACAGATGCTTCCATCTCTTTCGGAAATGCACAACTGAGCTGCAGGGGGAGTGCCAGGCACATGATATACTTCAGGTTACAGGGAACGGACTGGCTGGTCTTGTCAAGGGATTATCCATTGCCTAAAGATGGACAAGTAAAGAATATGAGGTAGTATTTTCTGCATTCAAGGTAAAAAAAAAAAATGGGAATTCTTTCCTTTCGCTTTCTGGAAAAAATTATCAAACTGTCACTTCTTGTACCTGTAATTTAAAAAGCCTTTATTGGGTTATTGTTTTTTGTCACTGGACCAAAAACAAATGGGAGCAACAAGGATTCAGAAGACCGATTACTGCAACAAAATCAACCTTGCTTCCATGAAGGCTATACAGCTATTAGCAGCTATGAGCTGCCTCTTCAAAAATAAGTATTGTAACAGATGAGAACGCGAATTTTTTGCCAAAATTTGCCATCTCATTTCCCATAGCAACATGTCTCTAAAAAAGCAGAACTGGAAAAAAAAAAAAAGGTGTTTCAAATATTCACAGTATCATTTCAACGCTCAACATCACAGCTCTCGTGATTAAACGTTGTGGGGTTTTCTTTAAATAACCTGGGTTTTCTAGATGATTTGGTCTTTGACAGTGGCAGAGAAAGCAAAGCAACAAGGGAGGCCTCGTTAAAAAAGAAAAACCTTGAACTTCTTCGCTTTTTGCATTACAGAAATAAAAAAGGGAGGGGGGAAAAAAAAAAAAAAGAAGATGGGAATGAAGGAATTCAGATAAAGCATCAATTTCAATCCTTTCCTTAATTGCAGTCCTCCAGATCATGCCGGTCCCTGTAAGACAGCAGCAGGGAAGATGCCAAAGCTCCTAGAGTCCTACAGGGTTTGGTGTAGTTTCTCACTCCTAACCATAATCGTGGTGAGTGCTGAACCTTAACTTTTGAGGAGCCATAGTCAGGTGACAGATAATCACGTGAGACTGCATCAACTCAGGCTGTTGCCTTAGAAAGACAGAGTTCAGTAAACACTATCAGTTGTCCCTATCTTGAAGCTAATGGACACCTACCTTTGTCAATGTATGGTTTACTAATTAACCAGAAAACAGATACAAAGAGTAACTTAACAGATTCTGAACACTTACTATAGGTTATTAAAGGCTGAAGGAAAATTACTGCAAGTATCACAGTTATTAGCCTTCAAACCGAATCAGATCACTATGCTCTAATGATCATACTAACAATTTTGTGTCACAACAGGGACTACAGGTGAAGTGACATCTGCACGGCCTAGTGCCAGCCTCACTACGTGGTTACGCTGTCAGTGAAATACTGTTTCACTGGCAGGGAAGACCCTTCCGTACTGTCAGCTTCAGGAACACCAGTTACTATTAAGGTCTTACCTACATCTGACACGGTCTCTCAAATTCAGGTATGACTAAAGCATACTTTTCACAAAAAAAAAAAAAGGGCAGTACAAACTATTCACAAATGTAAAGTTAAATCTTGTTCTTTCTTACAAGGACTTATTATAGATTTAGGTCATAATTAAAAGGAAGTTTTCATTCCCATTTTTGTTCATTAAGTGCCGCCTTCTTGTAATAACTGAAGGCTGTATTGGAGGAAGAAGGAAAAAAAGAATGAAGGGGGAAAAAAAAAGTTTTTTTGAAATTAAACCATGGTGTTAACTTTCCTCTGTTTGTAATTTCTTAAATATTTTTGAGCAACAAAGAAAAAATACCCGTTAAGGCTTTGATGTTTGTTTAAAGAATCGCAGCATTTTAAAACGCAAATAAATCTAAATAAAGTCTTTGTCAGAACTGATCAGCACCTCTCAATGTACTTGCTCTGGACACTAACAGTACGTCACCACAAGAACGGTGGTTCCTGGTGACAGAACGCTAAACAAATAAATGACTAAATTTGTTTTGACACAGGCTAATGACTTGATAAACATGGATAACACTTTTCTATTTCATAACACATCGCATTCCAACTTCATTTAACAGCAACCAGCAATCTTGAAATATTTCCCATCTAGACATCTGATCTCTGGCACTAAAGTTAACTTAAAATAGTATACTGTAGAAGTTATGAAATGCTTACATGGCAAGATATTTCCATTTTTAAAAGGAACGCAGTTTTTATTAAAAAAACTGGGGAGAAAGAGTTTACCAAAAAAAGCCTGGTTTTACAAGATGTGCTGGCAAAGGGTTCAGTACAATAAATACTACAGCCAGCCACAGTCAGTATGGTTCACGTGAGGTTACAGGGAACTAAAAAAGCACAGAAGAATGCTTAATCCCTACGAATAATGGTGTAAGATGGAGGTAGCTCCATTAAAATGAATGATATTGTAACAGCAGGAACCAACAGAACAAGTTTCAATTTAAATTTACTGCAGGAAAAGTGCATCTGAGACAACTGCAGGTATGAATATGACACACTTTTCCTACAAATATGCAGATACACAACAAGCCCCAACAACTTACCTGTCTCTTGTCATCTGGTGCTTTAAGGAAAAGTGCATTTATTACTGCTATGGTATATGTCTGGATTTCCTGGTCCGTCCTGTTTGGGAGAAAATTATAAACACGACAGAAGAAGGTGAATACATACGAGCTGTAGAGACTCGTATTACTGCAGGTAGGAGTGCAGGGACTGTTTGCACTCAGTGTTAACCCTGTAAAGTTAGGCAGTCACTCAAAGCTGGACATGACCAGGTTGTCTCTACTATTAAGGGAGACAAGATGTTCCAGTGGGAGACCCAGCATTCAAGAAAGGTGGAATGAATCACACCCTTGAAGTGCCATTGACGCTCCACTGATCAACATCAGGAGCCCAGACAATCTGCTTCCGCCAGGTCCAACAGCTAGAGGCAGGAAGAGGAACCTTCCCGAAAGGGTTCTGGAGATGAACCTGCTGCTGTTAAACGCTTTTCCAGGTGAGTGGAAAATGTCCCAGTGTGCAGACAAGCATAACTATGGTTCACAACGCATTACCCTGTGCTATAAGAGGCAATTTCCATCCATTTAACCACCTCCAGTTATTGTTTCAGAAAAAGCCTCTCCCTTTTCAAATATACCTTTAGCAAAAGTTGACCAATTTTTATCTTACACACTTCCCAGAGGCTGGCAAGCTAAACAACCCCATCTGTACGCTAATGATGTTAAGCATTTTATTACTACAGGGTGAACTTCATTCCCCACTTCTAACTACACAGGCAGCTTAGCACAATGGTTAAAAAAAAAAGAGTGATTGAGCAACTCAAGAAAACTGGTTACCTGTCACCCAGCCACTTACAGTGGATGCAGGAGTCATACCGGAGGTTGCCAGCCTTTACAGCACTCTTCCCAACTGCTGTGCTCTTTTGGGGGGATGGGGGAAATGTGGTGGCAGTTGAAGACACTCACCCCTGCAGATGTGGGATGAGCTGCCCAATTGTGATCTCCTGTGCCACCTTCTGGTACAGGTCATGGCTATTAAGCACCATCGATTCCAGGATTGCTAGCGACCGTTGCAAGATAGAGATGTCCGAGGCAAATTTGTTCACATAGCTTGCTATCTACAAATTTGAACAGTTAGAGAATTTACATCTTGTCATGAAAATGGGGAAAGGGAAGAAGGAAAACTGTGGACATGGCTCAGAAAGGCCTCAGAATGAAAGTAGTCTTGTCCACGTGCCAGCTGTCAGTGAATACCTGAAAGCAATCACCCAGACACTGCAGATACCTTCAAAGGATACAGTGACACAGACTCTTCAGCTGACAGAAATCACCGTAGATTTACCTCAATATTTGTAACACCAAAATATATGCTTCAATATTACATTATGAACACGATAAATCAGCATTAAATAGAACCTTGACATTTTTTGTGAGGACAACTTTGGAAAGAATAAGGAGAATACTTCTCATCCCCTCCAGTAGAAATCTGTGCAGACAGCTTTTTCTAAAATATCATGGCTCAAGGCAGCTATTTCAAAAGAGAAATTTACATCTAGCTCTCTGGCAAAACACACTAGCAAAACACTCTTCTCACCATCACCCCCTCCTGCTACCAACAAGCTCTGTTACCACTGACAGCTCTCTCCAGGTAACAAGTTAAAACCGTTGATGGTCATTTCTCAGCACAACTGGCTGTGTAACTCTGTCTGGAGCCCAGTCTTGCTAAGTATTCACGCATTAATAACCTTAGCTCTCACTGCAGGCTGCCAAACAAACGGCACGTTAATCAAAGCCAGGTTTGACCTCTGCTTTTTTGCAGCGTGGCAGTGGTGTGCTGCAGAGTCAGACCTGCCGAGCCAACGCAGCTGTGCAGGAAGATGTGGCAATGTGCGTCTTTCTGCATGCTGCCTCCTCAGACCCCAGCTTCCCGGGAAGAAGCCTGCCTTCTGCTGAGGCAGAGAGCGAGAACTGCATGCGTTTTCCTTGGACGCATCGATACCAGCACAGTCAAGCTGAAAAGTACCCGAGGAAGCACAGACAGACAGAAGAAATGCCGTGTGACCACAGTTACTTGCTTTTTATGGCCAAGTAGCAGACTACAGCGGCCTCATCTCAAGTTTGATGCATTCCTTCCAGAAAACTTCAAGTGCACGCGCTTCTTCAGTACTCCCACTACAAGCTGCTAATGTGATTACACTGCTTCCGACCCTGGATGCTTGCTTACACCTTCGATCTGTTTTCCTTTTGGAAGAAGAAAGGCATGCCCTATGCTTGGAAAAACTGTCTGGCTGCCCGTAAAATTCACAGTTAAATACTGAAATGTGTACAAGGACACTGTTTTGCACTTGTGACATTTGAATAGTGATGAAGGAGCAAAACACCTTCCTGCAACTTTGGTTGGAGACGACAAGGCAAGAGGGACAGGTATTTCTTCTTCTAACCTACTGCAGTGCTGCTGTTTGCTCTGCTACTTGGTTTGCATCACCACAATAGGAACGTGCTAGGCTGAATGCAACTTGATTCAGGAAATACACACTGACTTTACAGAAAATAAAACCCTACCCATGCATGCACAGAGAATATGAGGAGACAACTCAGCCTTTTTCTGCTCTGGGTTTTCAATACCTGCTGCCTGCATGTCCTGAGCCCAAGTAATATCTACATCAGTATATTACACACATTGTGCTGTCTAGGTTAACAAGCTGTATCTCAAAAGCACTGTGCTACCCTACCTCTCTTAATGGTAATCCAGTTGTTTTCTGATGCAGGGCAGCCAGAGCCACCAGATGTCCACAATGCTCACGACAAGTGTACGCACAGAGCGACTCTGCACTGCTCACACAACAAACCAGATGCACCCTGGATGCCTCACACTCAGCAGGCATCCATGCACCGATGGTGCAGGAGGAATACAATATGCCCAAGACCACGTCCCAGCTTGTCAGACTGCTGTCACCATCCTCCTTAGAAGCCCTGACACGTATGAATTATTCTTGGCTCAGCAGCTCCTTCCCATAGTATTTCAAATGGCAGTGTAAATGCTTTACTGGGATATAACATATTCATGCACAAATGTAACACTATAGGTAACTGATACCTCAGTTTAGGAAAGGCTGCCCTAGACATATTTGTTCATCTGACCCTTGACCATACATCCTTTACTCAGAAATGCAAACCTAAGGTACGAAGCTTGTGTACCTACACACAAAACATCTGCTAGGTAACTTGCACATCAAGCTAGGCATATTCATAACCCCATTGCCAAAGCACCACGTTTGGCCAGAAATAATAGGCTTTCTATCCTGATAAATAATGCAGACCAGTTCCAGAGGCACAAAAATGAGATTAAAAAAAGTTCTAACACCATACTTGAATTTCTGGATTCAAATGGGGGGGGAAGACCCTTCTTGAAAAAAGACAAAAAGCAACAGGAGTTCAAATCTGTGGTGTTTGCTGTTCTCTGCTTACAGAGCACTACATGCAGGGAACGCTTTCAACATCCAAAAATAATCCTGCACTCATTTATCAAAAATCCTGATGATAAAAATAATGCAAGCTCACAGAAATACCACCTCTCCTCCAGAAATAAGCAACTCCATAGCTCTGCTCTGTGTCATGTGGGTGTGTTTCAGTAAGGGTAAAACTTTGTTCAGCAAAACTTGTAACCTTAATATCTGCATTGTCCTATGAGGACACATGCAGTCACATAGAGAAGACGTGGCTGGGTGCTTAAACCTCCTATCAATTTCAGAAAATTAGGAATCAGAATGCCTTTATATGTTCAGCCCCAGTGCTCTGTGGAGGGTAGATGAAAAACCTATAGCAAACTAAACTACATCATCTGAGTTCTCTTCCTGTTTCAGCATCACTTAAAGCACAGGAGAGAATTCAAAAGTTAAAACAAACAAAAATTTGGGGGAAAAAATAACCAAACAAACAAAACACACCACCAACAAAAAGCACAGAGGGCAAGAACAGCAAAGGAAACCCCTGAGTTTCTGTGCAGTGGTATGCTCATTAGTTATTTGCCTGGACCATTTTGATGTCAGAAACATATGGAACAATCTGACAAAGTTTTGTTCTTTGTTAAGTCCTAATGCATAGTAAAATTGTAAAGTGTGCATTGCATTTTCAAGTAAGGAGCTAGAGCTGACTACAGAAAAAACCAACTGACAGTTGTGAGACACAGAGACATTCTCTGCTGCCACCCCTTTTTCCTGCACAGTCCATTTTAGAAGGCAAAAAATTCATCAGGATTAAGACTCTGCCTCACACAGTTATGAAACAGCAGTTATATAAATAATTCTAAGAGATATTTTTAACTATCTCAATCAATACTGCAAACTTTAGTTCCTACAAGAGGAGAAATAAAGATGAGGGTGCCAAATTTGTACAGTGTATTTTGATATCAGATTGCTGTGACATTTTCTGAGAACTGAGCATCCTAATCCTTTAGGAAACTGTGGAAGCTGGAAATAAACTATATTGTCATAAGCAGGGAAAAGGTCTTGAGAGAATCTCGCATATCATAAGGAAGCTCTTTTAAATTATGCTATTTTCCTTTTTCTAAGGAACAAAGCTTGCCTTCAAAGTGTCAATTCCTAATTGCAGCAGTTGGAATAGCAGCCTTTGCATACCCAGAGGATGGGAAGGAGACTGCATCCAACAGTTAGTCATTAGGAGCAGTTAGAAGTTCCCCTTGAAGTCTCCTCTAGCTTCTACATTTTAAGTTTGAAAATGACCCAAGAAAAAAGTTCCAATTAATTATTCCCCTTTCCAGTCTGACTTTCATTCCACATGAAAGATAGCTTCAAAGGGCAGAAGCACTTAAAGTAGGATTGCAGCGTTCCCCCTCAGCCAGCAGCAACCGAACAGCTCCCTTATCGATTCTGTCAACCACTTGAGCCAGGCCACCAGCAGCCTCACACAGCCTGTCAAAAGCTGAGGTCAGAGAAGCAAGCGAGAATAAAGCTGCAGGTTGACACCAGAGAGACGTGGTCCAGCGGTGCTCCTTTAGATTTGCCCCTTGCCCACAGAGCCCCACTGAGGGCTCTGCTGTTCTGGCTCCCAACTGCCTGGCAGGTCAAGACACACTTGTGCCTGCTTCCTCTATTTTTGTCATTCTTTGTCCGTCTGTTTCTCTTCTAACTGTCCTATTCCTCTCCTCAGTCCCTTTCTTGTCCACCAGTTTCATTTTTGGTTTTTACTTGCCAGTTTTGGTTTTTATAGGTACTTAATGAGAATGCTTTCGTTTGTTGCCTTTTGTTTTGGTTTTTAAATTGGGGTCACTCTCCAGGGAAACCTATGGAAGTGGCAGACAGAAGAGGTGAGCCATTAACAGGGATGCACACAACACTTTGCTCCATAGTTACTTGTGCTGGTTTCAGGCAGGAAAGAGCTGCTTTTCTTCACAGCGCCGACCCTGGCCCAAGTGGCCGAGGGAGTGTTTCACTCCATGGTATGTCAGGCTCAGGACATGTGCGCAGTTTCGGAGGCAGGAAGTGGCCTGGTGGTCATTGAGACTTGGGCTAGCTTGACAGCTGGGTGGTTTGCTATGGTGCAGTTGTTAGCGGGGGGGAAGGTTTGTTTGTCAGTGGGCTGGGGGGGGTGGTTGGCTGGCTTTTGTCCCAGACGTGTTGTGACTCTGGGGCTCTCGGGTTCAGACTCACTACTCTGGGACCTGGCTGTGTGTTGGTCGGCGTGTGGCAAGCTACTGTACCATATTTTCTATTTTCTATTATTTTAATTACTTATTAATAGCAGTGTTAATACTAGTATCACTATAATTTTAGTTTAGATTCATTTATTAAATAGTTCTTATCTCAACTTTACAAGTTTCCTTATCTTTTCCTCCAATTCTCCTCCTCCCCTGGGGGTGGGGGAGAGGTGAGCAAGCAGCTGCTTGGTACTTTACTGCTAGCCAAGGTTAAACCACGACATTACTACACAACCCACAGTGCAAGGCTGTTGATAAGGTTAAACGAAGATGAACCTTTTGAGTCACTAACAAAGCAGATGAATTTAAACTCATTTTAGCAAGTTTCTTCATACACTTCTTAGTAGGTTTCCCTGGCAAATACAGCAGTTTGGGCTTGATCTTGTATCTTAGTTTGGGCTTGATCTTGCATCTTGTGAAGTCAGTTAAAAAACAGTTGCACTATTTTCTTTTCCATGAAAAGATAGCAATAATCATCATGATAATCTATCTAGACCACAAGATGGGCCAAAAAAAAAAAAGTCTAAACGGCAGATATTTAAAGAAAAAAAACCCCAAACAAACAAAAAAAACCCAACCCACCACACCACCTGAATTTTAATATCTAATCCTCTTTTCCTAATTGATTCTTCATCCACTTTTGGCTACCAAAGTACATCTATACTTTCCTTTGGTGGTAGTAATTTTCTAACTTCAAAGCCTTTGCTCTGACACAGTGTTGAAATAATGAGATCTTTATACCACAGTTTATATTCATTCCATTACTGCTTCTGATACCCCTGTAGTGAAGTAACGCTGGTATCTTTTGAACCTGTACGAATGCACTTTAACTGAAGTTCTAAGCTCAATCTAGTTTGAAAATTCTTTGCAAAGAGGTGTGGGCTTCCACCCCTCCCCCCCCCAGTAAACGAAAAGGCATTAATCAGTAACAAAAACTTTTTCTGAATTCCGTTAAGTATTTGTTCTTAAAGAGCAGTCCCATGTTTCGGCTGCTTTCGTGCATCTCCTACATGTAAGGAAAGAATAATATGTTACAAATCGTGGAAAGATCTGTTTCAAAACCACAGACCTCAGCTGCAAGATTCTAGGGGGCCAGACTTCAACTTGACAAATGCGGCCAATACCTGCTTAATTTCATGTGCGAACTAACCCGTTTCTCTTCCTCTCATACCACCAAAGGAAACATTTCAGTGCTTGTTTTTCAAGAAATACAGTATTACCCAATTTACATTAAACAGAAATACTAGTTATTTGCTTTAACTGCATCATATCTGCATGGGGAGGTCACACTGCAATTGACCAAGCAATTTCTTTTGTATTAAGCCTAATACAGTGTTGATCCCATTTCCCTCCCATTGATTTCTGCAGAAATTAGGCCAGATCCTGCAACCAAAAATATCTGTAGTTTGAAATAGCACTTTAATCCCATTTTCATGTACCTTTTTGGCCAATGACCTAAATAACATAGCTGCGGAAAAAACACCACACAAATCATGACTCACCTCAAGTTACACTGATACAGAACAGATAGCATTGATTGCAAATTTACCTTTTTAATGAATGCCACAGAGAATGTATCCCACGATACAATCCCATGATCCATCAGCTCAACAAATGCAGTCAGTGTAAAGGACAACATATCTCCAAAGCTGCAAGAGACAGGAGTCATGACGTTTACCAGTGATGCGGCAGGGCAGTGACCGAAGGAATAAAGCAGCAGGAAGCTTTCAGAAAGGCAGGAAAGTGAAGCCAGTTATGAACTAAGAGGTAGCAGAAGAGCAAGATAGGCCGTGCAACAAGATAGTCTCCAAAACAATTTAGTAAGGGCATCAAGAACAGTCACCTGGAAGAAAGCAATTTTGTAAGAGAAGAACTAATCCCCAGGAGAACACCACATGCAATCCTCAAGGAAATCAGAGTCCAAATTAAACTTCTTTAAATTCAGAGTTTTAGATCCGACAGAAGAAAATAAGTCAGTTTCTTCTTGGCAAATTATGGAAATGCTCCTAATAGAAGGTCATACAGAGGCGCCATGTTTTGGTACCTCTGCGTCAAGCAGATTGGCAGAAAATTAGTGGATTGTTTGTCCCTTCTCTTACAAGGAAGCAAATATATTTTTAAAATACACCAGAAGAGACCATACATTGAGCAGATTTTCCAGTAGTTAATGCCTTGATTTCTTTCTTTGAACCTGAAGATGCATCTCCTTTTGTTTATATATGGGCAACCCTGTCCAGTGAATTGCCAAGTTCCCACTGTTTACCCAAGCATGCAGCTCAAACTGTTTAGGGTTTGCAGGCCACCACACTGCATTTTATACCTGCAAATTTGAGATTCAGTGCATCTTTATATGAACTCATCTAAATTCCAAATGAGTTTGAACTCAACATACAGAACATGCTCTAACCTGACTAGCTCCACAGAAATTTTCCAGGTTAAAAAACAGCTTTTAAAGATTAGCTTCATTTTTAGACACAGCTGTGGCACCGAGCAGCCAGGAGCCCTAATGGTTTCAATGAAACTGTTCCACGAGGTAACTACTCAATACAAGCAGCAGTGCACGGAGCCTGAAACGAAGCAGCGTATTACCTTTAAGGGCCAAACTGCCAGCAAGGTGCTCTGCCACGAAGACATTAACAAGAATAAGCATACAATCAATCTCAAGAGCATGAATAGTCCCATTGGTTTTAATCCTACAGCTTACCTAATAAACAGATAAAATTTAAAAAACCCAACTCTGTCAGATGGGAACTACAATGCTCAGTATGTTGAAAACCTGCGTCTAGTACTACAGCCATCGTTAAGCAATCTAATTGGTAATCCCTACTGAGTGCTCCCCCACTATCCTGCACTAACCCAAGTAAGCAAACAACCATTCAGATGGAAGACATCTTCACCACATGGAAGATTTCTTCACCACAGAGAAATAAGGCAGAACAGAACCTGTTCCAGTGTAGCAACTCCAATAGGCAGTTTACTGGATTTGATGCAATCTGCCGTTTAGGGATTTCTGATGGTGAGATGCAACCTACAGCGGCCCTTTCATTTAAGATAGGAGCTCTTGTTCATCAAACTCCGCAGATGCCCTCCACTAAAAAGAAATTTTATATCCTTGACATTCTGTGAGTAAAACCAAACAAATCAACAAAAAAAGCCAACCAAAGCACACCTTCCTCTTCCACAGTAAGGGTATCCACAGTGGCTTTGATTATTTATGACAAAATGAAAAAAATGTACACCAAAAAGCAAACAAGAAAAATAGTGTCTTTAAAAAAAAAAAATCCACTGTCATTCTGCAAGGAATATATTTTTCAGCAAATACACGATCTGGAAGTTCTTGGTTTTGGAGGGTTGGTTTTGTTTGCTTGTTTAGTATTACAAATCTTTTAAGAATTAAATTAGATTTAAAGTGTCATCATTAGCATTCCAAATAACCAAGGATTTCATAACAAGATGACAGAAAGACTCCTCAGGAAATTTAATCAGCTCCAGTCCTGCCTGTCATTTTTCTGAATTCACTCCCTTTTGCATACAATGGATATTTATGAATTCACAAATAAAACAGCACCCCTAGGAAAGGCTTCCTTCTAAAACTTATACCAAATTCTAGTGCATGTTCATGGCAGAACACTTGCACAAATGTATGGAATTCTGGTATTTTAAGAAGGTAGAAAAAATTAGATCCAAATAAAAAGGAAAAAAAAATCACAAAAATGGGTCATATATAGGTTGAAAAGTAGACAAAAATATCCCTCCCAGCAATAAACTAAGCAGATAATTTAACTCCCCTAGATTTTCTCATATACTGTTTGAAAAATTTAGTCAATTGACTTGTATTTAGTACATAAACACTGTTGTATGAACTAATTGTACATGAAAGCTAATCCACATTGACAATGTTTATATAGTATATAGTTTAGAAGGATTATTTAAACTGGATTAAAGCTGCATCTGGATATTCAGGTTATTTTAATTCCTTTACAGTACCATTTATTCTTCTCACCAAAGCTAGATTACTCCTGCCAATTAATTAACTCCAATTAATTAAACTCCAGTTTCCCCTCCACAGCTTTGAGGAGAAACTAGATTAACGGAGCTGAAAATACTGGTATTAATGTATAAACCTGGTTTTAGTAGATGTGACAATGGTACAACCGTTTGGGATCTGTAATGTGAAAGTCCTTCCAAACTTAGAAGGACCAGACACCAGGTGTCCCCTCCTGTGACACCACTTCAAATAATTAGCAGGAGCAGAGCGGTGCAACACTGGGACTAACCAGGCATCAAGAAATACCCCGATTCTATATATTATGCAGCACCACACATATATAGTGTGTAATTTTAAATATATAGTTATACATATGCACCTGCACATATAGGTATACGCTAAGTGGCACTGCAGAAGTCAAAAGCCAGATTTAAAGGATAAGCTTTAGGAGTAGCACAGCTAGAGATGAAAGCAATCTCCAGGGTAACTAGAGCCAGATAAGGATTAAAGTATCTGGAGGGGGGAAGGGGGTGGTGTTGATTCATTGTTATGTCTTTAAACACACGCAGATAGGTAGAAACAGACTTCCAAGCAATTCATTTCAATACACACGCACAGATGCACTCGTACTATTAAGAGCAGCAGACAGAATAGATGCTAGAAATTTCAAGGGAATCAAAGCTTGTCCGTAAACGTAGTAATCGTAGAAAATACATGGTAGGAGCTGTTTAACTCAAAATCTCAGTGAATAAGGCCCCAGCACAAGGTGCTACATTTCTGTAAATATCAAACAGTTGCTGCTCTGGCAAAATGTCTTAATAGTCTGATGGTAATTCCTGACTTTTCAATGTGTGTCATCGCAGCAAGAGGGGAAAAAACGATCTGAAAGAGACACTGTGTAATTGCAATTTCCTATCTCACTAACACCAATGGTTTAATGACCTATGCTATCAAGCAAGCTACTTGCACAAACCCTCCCGAGTGCTGCTCAGGCCCCAGCTTACGCTGGGACAGCTGATGAAGTCTCCCCATCCTCTGCTGTCTGACTCCCCTCTTCTAGTCAGCGTCACGAGGCCGGGTGAGCCGGCCACGAAACACCTCCTCTCCCACAGCAGATCTCGGCGAAAGCCTCTTACGTGGCGGAAAGCTGTGGTCTGTAACGCCACGGGCTGTCCCAGCGTGAGCTGTTCCGGTGTGGGTGGGCGGCCGTGCTCTGATCCTCAGCCTGTGCACCTCAACCCCTCCGACAAACCTGACTGAAGAGTAAGTCAGCAGTTGCGTTTCACATTTCTAGGTTTTAGAGAAGTATCAGGGAAAAGCCCGTTCATTTACATTCCTAAGCATTTTCTGCATTCTTACCTTAAGAAACTGTGAACAAAACAACCTTCCACGCACTTTGATATTAACTTTTCTTTCCTAAAAATTAAAATGGCAGGAATGTGCACGTGACCCTGACCACCACACCTGTCTCTCAACCTATCCTTTCTACATGCTAAACCACCTTTTGATCATGTGTGCTAAGTAATCCTCAGGTGTATATACAGAACTATGGCTGCTATTTTGAAAGATGCCTAAAGCAATTTGGATCTATGATCAAAATGAATTAATGGGACTCGAGCACCCAAAGCCCTAGGTGCCTAGAATCTCAATTCACGTTTAACACACATACCAAAATGAACATTTTATTGCTATTGGGGAGGGGAAAATATTCAGCTGTTCAAATGATTCTCTAAATCGAGATAATTAATCAGTCTCAGCTGTCATCAGGTAACAGGAAAAAAAAGGCACCACAAGCTTTTATAAAAGGTAGGTGGACCGTCTCATGTTTTATATGATAAAAGTTGCACAGGAGAACCTGAAAATTAACCGTTGCTTGTCTGTCACAACCAAGATACAGCCACTAGACCATTAGGACTAGAATCCACAGACAATACAATTTCACATAAACCCTTTTTCATGGGCAAAACAGGACCAAAGCTGACCTCTAACTGTGCAGAAGAAAGGCACCAAAGAAACAACTTTAACTGGGCAGGAGGCAACAAAACAGTTTCAGCCTACTACCAAATGTAGGAGTTAAGGAAGCAGCTAACTAATTCCCTTATCACGCAGCAACTGTGCCCACAGCCTAATAGTGAGCAGCTGAAAGGCCTGACATCATTGAGGTCAACACCAAAGGGTAAGAACAGCTTCTTAAGCTAGAGGTGTCAAAGATAAATGGCCATGTTTAAACAGGGGAGCAGAATATATCTCATCATCCGAGGGCAAGAGCTCTGGAAAAGCTAAGGGGGCAAGAACCTAAGCAAGTCTAAAACGAAGACTGATGATGCAGCAGGATGCCTTGCAAGAGGTGTGAGCAAGTACCTTTTGTATTGCTACGGCTCCTCTTCATTGCTTCTGCACTGCCTCGCTGCTTCAAGTAACCTTTCCAAGAGAGAAGCCAAGCCACCACCAAACCAAACCAGCAGCAATCCACACCTACTTGGTACTTGCTCTCTACAGCTGAAAATGAGTGAACACTCTGTGGGGTAGCCACCCCTATTTTTCTAGATGATTACAGAAAATGCACTTAACTGCTACACTGCACTTGACACAGATTTTTTTTTTGGCATCATGCCATGTACCACTGAAATATTTCTTTGCAGTACAGTTTCACTGCTTTCATTACAAGGGATCAGCCCTACTGATTTTAAACCACTTGTGTTCCAAAACCCCAAAATAGCTTTGTACCCTTGGCATCAGGGCTTCTTGAAAATTAATTCTGATTCAAGAAAACAAGCTATGAATTTCAAACAGAACTGTAACTATTCTAGAATAAATCCACAGGTGTAGCTACTCTTGTTATAGAGCATGAATAAATCCACTTTGAGGTACGTTAAGTGTTTGTCCGCACAGGAAACTAGCCTAAAGGAATTATTACACACTGGTTCTTCATAAAGACATGATTAGAATTACCTTTTATTCCCATTTTTTAAATTCCTGGTTTTGTTCTTTTCACGGTAATTTCCTTACATGGACCAGCTTTTCATAAAAGGCCAGGAATAACAAACTACATGGGGGAACAACATCAGTCTCCAATGAGTGTGGTTTAGCTACGATTCAGTACTGCAACGCAAAGGTCAATTGACAGACCTGTTTCAGGGGATTATTTTTTTTTTCCCCAACTGCAAGCGTTAGCCAATATAATCCCAAAACAAAATGGGAATCCCTAAAACTGTAAAGACAGGGAAAAAGAAACTCACATTTTAGAAAAATTTCCTTCAGTGGAAAAAACTATTAAACAAGGCCTCTCTGTGAAAATCAGGTTTTAATTAAGTCAGACGAGCATGTGCAAGCCACCAGAGACAAAGTGAAATACTGGCACTTTATGAAACATGTCATGCAGTAAATCAAAAGTAACTTTTTTTTTTATTTATTAGAATTCAGTTTCTTTAAGTTCCTTTCATCAAGCAGATCGCAGGTGGAGGCTGCAAAGTTTTAAAGTTTAGTTTAGTTCATTATATCAAGGCCTGATATATATATGTATATATTTAGTAGTTCTTCTTTCATTGGACCCTTTCTCATTAATAAACGTGTGAAAATTAGTCAGGATATTCAATAACTATACTCACAGAGCACTAGTGTGTACCCTATACCTTCAAAATCTACGAACAGGTCAGCTTCCAGAACAACTGGTATCATGTCCTGACCAATGACTCTGGTATCTTTTTTAATACAAGCCCCAAACTCAAGAATTCATGTTATTTTAATTGTATCGTTTCATGTACTGGTGATGGAAATCAGAATATTAAACTGTGTCCCCCAACGTAAATTGAAGCTTGTACTGCGTGCTGGTTTTAGTCAGGAGAGATTTAGCTAGCAAGATTCAACTTCCGAAGTTAGAATAAACTCCAGTCACATACACTTTCCTTACTACTGCATCCACCGATGTGCTGTATCTACACTGATCACTAAGAACACCCTGAAAATGGGTGATGCCTAGTTTTGCTTACTCATGGGAACAAAACTGTGTAAAAAAATAATTCAGACCATCGGCATGATCAGGTTCTAAAACCAGGGTGAAATGCACCTGTAAGTCAGTATTTTAATAGTCTTGAGGACAATCACATAATTTAATGTAGAGAATCCTACAGGATAACAGAATTTGGAAGCAGAGATGCTCAAGGAGTAGAACTGTTCTTCCACAAAGAACTATTTTCACATCAGTGAGGAAAAACTCTCAAAACAAATGCACAAGAGGTACCTTGTCTCAGCAAGGGTGATGCTGCCAAGAACTCTGAAAGCCTCATGCCATTTTAATAATTTTCCTCAGAATCTAAACTTTTCTATTACGACACAAGTTACTGTGTATTAGGCCGAGAAAGGAAATGCAGAGGAAGGAATTAAGTTTCTTGCCAAATTTATTCTTACAGTCTAATTTATTTATTAGGCAATGATTTAATAACAAACGTTTCAGAACTGGGTTTACAGCAGATTTGTGAAAGTATGATTTAGCAGGGGTTCCCATGGGAGCTGCATTTCCTGAGTGATAAACCACATCAAGCTCTCAGAGTGACAGATACACGGTTAATTGATTAAATGATTTATTGTTTCCTTGGATTTTAGCTATACCTGACATGTCAAACCTGCAAGCCAACCAAGATATTTGGTCTTAATTTACCAAAGCCTATTAAGCCTGTGCTTAACTTGAAGCACACGGAAAAGACCCATTTAAAATCATCAGAGCAATAAGCACACTTCTGAACTTTCTGATATGAGGCTCTTTACTACATTACAGTTTCCTTTACGCAGTTATCTGCAACAACTAGCATTACCTAGGACCAGCAAATAATAGGAAATCAAACTGGTGCTATGACTCACTTTCATCTCACATACACCATTAAAATTGCCTACTATCAATCAGGTAGGCCAGACAATGGAAGAGTGGGATTGGGAAAGACAGGGAAATTGTTTGCTCAAATTAAAAAAAATAAACTACCCAAAGCAAAAGGCTTACTTAGGAAATAGTAGAAGCACCTGCAGAAGTTACAGAAATGAAGCACCAATTCCACAAGCAAAGCAAAAAAGGCTTCATCGGAAAATTTTACCAAGCATCAAAAAGCAGAAAGCAGAGAATGCTGAAGACTGGCTGAACGAATATGCACAGTTGTATTTACACAGAGAGATTAGCGCGAGGGCCTGAACTCAGTCATGCAAAAGAAGAAGTGTGCAAGGTGATGATCTAATCAGGTTCTTACCAGGGCTTCATTATCTTCTGCAATTTCTGATATCGTCTGCAAAATTAAAACTTGCAGGTGAGGAGACACACTTTAAGACATCTGTATATGTAACTCTGCATACACATACACCCACACACCCTCCCCATGCTTGATCCACAAAATTCAAAGACAGACACACAGTAAGAGGCAGTAAATGACTAACAATTAGCTGTGAACAGAAAGAGTTTGGTAAGTGGTAAAGAAAACATTCTAAATTAACTTCAAGTATTTGGTCAGAATTGTGTTAACTTCTGCTAGGAAAAAAGCCGAAGAGAAAAGACAGTTGATGGGGAATATCAGATTTCTCTAAATCCTGTTTCTCTTGATTGTTAAAGACCGTCTAGGCATCCTAAATTAACTAATTATTTGTGTAAAAATAGTCTTTGGCACAAAACAACAAAGGTTTACACATTAAGCATTTTCAGTCTCGTTGCTATGACATGTAGTCTGTTGGCTGAAAAACTTTTATTTTTCCCCCAAGATACACGCTGCTGTGTCTCATCAGTGCACCAGAAGCTACGGCATCATATTACTATACTCAGGAAACTGGAAGCCAAATATCTGGGGTGGGGGAAGGGGGGGTGGGGTGGTACACGGGACACACACAAATAAGTACAATTGAAAGCTGTAGCCCACTAATCACAATTTGCAACTCATCCTCCTGCTAATAACTGCCTTCAGAATTGCTGATTATGCTACTAAGCAAGCTGAAGATAGAGACTATAAATGGTAAAAATGCCATCCAAGACAAATAACTTCTTTTTAAAACAGCACTTAAAAAAAAAAATTCTCCATCTCCCATTTAACCCTTTCTTGTGTCTCCTAAATCTATTCCACTGTTTTATTTCAGAGGTTTGGCTGCAGCTCCACACCAGGCAGATTACTGTTCAAAAGAAGAACAAGGAGATCCTTCCTCCCTCCCTCCCTGTCCCCTTCTCCCCAGTCTTTCCCTTTGCACATGCTGCTACACCCTGCAGCCCACAATGCTAGGACCCCAAACTCTCCAACCACTGTTGCAACTCTCTCCCAGAACTTGGCTCAATTTATTTTTACCTTCTGGTACAGCAATAACTCCTCCCACCTTGCATTTTCCGTTCGGTTTATGCTTAGGTAATGAGCTCTCTACAGAGACCGCAGGAGTCTGTGTATCTGAGACTCTCTTCAAGAGGGACCAGTCTCAGGGAGGGCAACATTTGGGCTGGCTTAAGTAACCATCAGCGGAGAAAACAGAGTACATCACAGGAAGAGTGCTTTGAAATCCCTCGTTACTATCTGTGACCTGCAATACTCGTGCCTGAAGATAACGACAGCACAGCTTACCATGTACCCCAGCACAGATTGGGTCACCTCAAATGAGAAAACCCACACGATCTTGCTCTTGGATTGCATGGATTTGGTTCTTGTATGCTACAACAGCTATCTCTGTAGCCAGCAGGAACAAGCAAACAAAAAGCATCCTGATGATAAGACAGCCTTAAAAACACTCAACAAGCTTTTAGAAACAGAAAAATTCAAAGCATCTCCCACAATAGGAGATCCCAACTTCAGCAGAATGTCACGCGTGCTTCCTGGCTGCAGCAGACTCTGCTAAACCTTAAGAACAACCACCACCACCACAAACGGGTTTCGTCATCTCCCAGATGTGCGTGGATCCAAGCAACCTTATGAAGCACATGCCAGCAGCACTTCACAGCATCGTCCTGAGCCCAGTTTTTAAAACAGCTGCTTTTCAACCAGGTGCTGCCTTTGGCTAAGCAGCAAGTAAACTTGAAATTGATCTGTGTCTGTCTGACATCAAAGAGAAATAAGGGCAGTGTTTCCCAACTGGTAGCACTTCAAAGGGCAGACTCAGTTTTGCCAGAGATTTTTCACAACAGGCTATAATAAGGTGCATTTTCTCCATGAATGAGCCCAGGGATTACAGAACAAACATCTGAATGCTAAACCAAAACATTTAGACAGCAACTCTCTTAGTATTTAGAGAACTCATATCCATCTTGAGTTAACTGGCAATCAGTTAACTTGAGGTCAGATGTGCAAGGTAAAAGAAAACATGAAGAATATGGAGAAATAACTGAATCGTATAGGACTTTTCTGGTGAAGCAATACAAAGACAACAAATTTTTACTTGAAAGATAATCATCGTATTAAACCAAGCAATTTCTATTAACCTCTGTTGCTTTAGAAAATGTGGTAAAAGCAGTAATCAATCTAGGATATCTAATGTAGCAGCAACATGGTACAGGATGATTGACATAAGTCTTTTACCACCCAACAGGTAGCAGCTGTTACCTGAAGAAGTACGTGCTATTTTCATCCCATCATCGAACCAAAAGCCTTGTATGGAAGGACCCAGCACGAGCAGGAGGTCCCCTCATATTCACCCACAGACCACCCTAAAGTCACCACCGAAGGAGCAGCCAAGCTAACTCTTCCAGCAAGTCAGCCTGGAAAGGAACAAGTAGTCGCCACCTCCATCAGCTTTCCTCTTTCTATATATGCACAACTATTGTTTCTTCCAGACTCTGTGGTAGCGACGAGACAGTTCTGAAAAACACCTCCTGGGTGAGTTACCACAGGTATGGTCAAACATGCTGAAAGTCTTACTATTCTGGACACTGTAATTAGCTCGATACTTACATTTATCTCTTTTTTTAGAAACCACGTCTCAATTGCACTTGCACGGAAGGGAATAAAACCGTAGCCAAAACACAAGCATCATGTGAGGGTAAACTAACCAGCATTTGTGAAAGGTTCAGATACTGTAGTGGTGACAGACAAAACCAGACAGTAATTTTTATACAGGGAGAAATCTCAAAACAAATGCCAACATAATGTAATATAAACATTAACAATAAGTTACCAGTTTAGACATTTCATTACCGTATTATGTTCCCTGTTTTGCCTCAATGAACTTTCTGATACATTTCCACCTGAATCCCAAGGTGCAGCAGTTCTCTTTGGACTTTCCTAAACCATACAGACTTCCCACTTCCTCATATACTGCAGGTTATGTCAGGAGCAGCTTCCAGCGGAGACTAGGTCAGCAAGGACCTGACCGGATCAACCCCTACCAGTTCACGTGCACGAAAGGACCAAAGATACCCCAAATCTAAACCCCAGCTGGGGCAACACGCAGTGCACAGGAAGGGTTTTGTCTGCACTGGTGAGGACTACTAAAACGTTGTCCCACTGGGGAAGCCAGCATTAGCGCTGCCAGGAGCTAAAGTGGTCACACCGCGTCACTGCGAGCAAGGTTTGAGCCTGCACTGACTAAAGACGCACGGGGTATGATAAAAACACCAGGGAGGAGAAAAGCTCTTCATGCAGCATGGCCACGGAGAGGGCCATTATTATCAAAGGTGGAAGATGTTCATAAAAACTTCCTCCTGCACAGAAAAACTGACGGGATGATGGATGGGCCCCTCACTACAAGAAGGACACTGAGGTGCCGGAGCGTGTCCAGAGAAGGGCGACAGAGCTGGGGAAGGGTCTGGAGCACAAGTCCTGTGGAGGGAGCTGAGGTGAGACCTGATCGCTCTCTGCAGCTCCCTGAAAGGAGTTTGCAGAGAGGCGGGTGATGGTCTGTTTTCCCAAATAACAGGAGACAGGACAAGAGGAAATGGCCTCAAGTTGCTCCATAGGAGGTTTAGATTGGGTATGAGTTAAAATATCTTCCCTGAAAGGGCTGTCAAGCATTGGAATGGGCTGCTCAAGGAGGTTTGAGTCACCATCCCTGAAGGTATTTTATTTAAAAGACGTGGCACTTAGAGACATGGTTTAGTGGTGGACTTGGCAGTCTTAGGTTAATGGTTGGACTCAATGATCTTAGGGGTCTTTTCCAACCTAAATGTTTCTATGATTCTTGAGCCACCTGCTAACCACATTACGTCAGTATTTGGCTACTGCTTTTCAGGCAAACACTAGAATAGTCCGCGTTCTGGGTAACAGGCAGTGGTTAGAAAGGTGACAAGACAATACACAGGAGTGCAGATTTCTGGGTTCTGTCTGTATCAGGTGCGGCTCTCCCATATAAGTGATGTCCAGGGAACACTCCATCCAGGAGGTCTAAATAAATTATTTAGATTAAATCTAAAAAATTACTATTAAGCTACACAACGACACTCCCGCTCCTCACAGCCACCACATCCCACAGCCACTACAGTCCAAGAGACAAAAAGATCCTGGAAAGTTGCAGAAGTGGAGATTTTAAGGTTGTCTTATTTTTGCTAGTTCCTCAAATGCTACACTTTTGTCTGGAGGTAAAACAAAAAAGAAAAAAAGAATTAGTTGTCTCCAGCTTGGTACTCTGAAGAACCTTTGGAAATATAAATCCATTGCTGGAGTTACTCTTTTTATCACGTTTTACAAAAGTTGTTGCAAAACAAAAAACAGTGAAACCGTCTCCTCTACTTGTTACTGTCAACAAGGTGTTGATATCACAACTCAGCAGGGGTCATTTAAATGCTAATATTCTTAAGCACAGCCAAGTAAGAAAAACAACTCTGGATCAAAGGTATTTAGGATGGGGGTAGTGTAAGGAGCAGCAACTCTCCCCTTCTCTCCAAAGAAGAGATCTTTGATGGTTCCATCTTCAGATGAGGCTTTTATCTAAAATGTACCATGTACACTATGTGTATGATCAGAAGGATATACAAGAAATTGTGCTCGTGTGTGCGCTGAGAGGGAGGGTGGAATCCAAGCTTCAAGACTGTCGAGGAAAGAAGCCCCAAAGAGAGCAATAGGGAGAAAAATAAACCAACAAAAAAAAAAATCCACCCACAAAGAAAATCTACCCCGCTTCGTTCCTTTATGGGAACTGCACCAAAAGAATGGGCTGCAGCCCTTTCTTATTTCTCCTTTACCTACC